TGTTAGAAAAATATTTATTTTTTCTCTAGAGTGCCCCTTAGATGCAACTTTCTGGAATTGGTTCTACTGATAATTGGCATGTGTTGGATCCATCCAAGTTTTTTTAAACGAAGCCTTTCAGGAAGCATAAAGTATTTTTGAGGCATGCGTTAGAGAAGATAATTATTTTTCTCGACGTGCCTCTTTCATGCCAGTTTCTCCAATTGGTTCTAATGATAATTGGCATGTGTTGCTTCCATCCAATTTTGTTTTATTTTAAACCAAGCCTTTCAGGAAGCATAGTGTTTTTGAGGCATGTGTTAAAAAAGATAATAATTTTTCTCTGAAGTGCCCCTTACATGACAAGTCTCTGCAATTGGTTCTAATGATAATTGGCGTGTTGCTTCCATCCAAGTTTGTTTTATTTTAAACCAAGCCTTTCAGGAAGCTTAAAGTATTTTTAAGTCATGTGTTAGAAAAAATAATCATTTTTCTCTGAAGTGCCCCTTACATGCAAGTTTCTGCAATTAGTTCTAATGATAATTGGCATGTGTTGGATCCATCCAAGTTTTTTTTAAACCAAGCCTTTCAGGAAGCATAAAGTATTTTTGTGGCATGCGTTAGAGAAAATAATTTTTTTCTCGACGTGCCTGTTTCATGCCAGTTTCTGCAATTGGTTCTAATGATAATTGGCATGTGTTGCTTCCATCCAATTTTGTTTTATTTTAAACCAAGCCTTTCAGGAAGCATAAAGTGTTTTTGAGGCATGTGTTAAAAAAGATAATAATTTTTCTCTGAAGTGCCCCTTACATGACAAGTCTCTGCAATTGGTTCTAATGATAATTGGCGTGTTGCTTCCATCCAAGTTTGTTTTATTTTAAACCAAGCCTTTCAGGAAGCTTAAAGTATTTTTAAGGCATGTGTTAGAAAAAATAATCATTTTTCTCTGAAGTGCCCCTTACATGCAAGTTTCTGGAATTAGTTCTAATGATAATTGGCATGTGTTGGATCCATCCAAGTTTTTTTTAAACCAAGCCTTTCAGGAAGCATAAAGTATTTTTGAGGCATGCGTTAGAGAAAATAATTTTTTTCTCGACGTGCCTGTTTCATGTCAGTTTCTTCAATTGGTTCTAATGATAATTGGCATGTGTTGCTTCCATCCAAGTTTGTTTTATTTTAAACCAAGCCTTTCAGGAAGCATAAAGTATTTTTGAGGCATGCGTCAGAGAATATAAGTTTTTTTTCTCGATGTGTCTCTTTCATGCCAGTTTATGCAATTGTTTCTAATGATAATTGGCGTGTTGCTTTCATCCAAAGTTGTTTTGTTTCAATTTAAGTCTTTCAGGAAGCATAAAGTAATTTTGAGGCATGTGTTATAAAAGATAATTATTTTTCTCTGAAGTGCTTTTTACATGCAAGTTTCTGCAATTTGTTCTAATGATAATTGGCGTGTGTTGCTTCCATCCAAGTTTGTTTTATTTTAAACCAAGCCTTTCAGGAAGCAGAAAGTATTTTTGAGGCATGTGTCAGAAAAGATAATTATTTTTCTCTGAAGTGCTTCTTACATGCAAGTTTCTGCAATTGGTTCTAATGATAATTGGCATGTGTTGCTTCCATCCAATTTTGTTTTATTTTAAACCAAGCCTTTCAGGAAGCATAAAGTATTTTTGAGGCATGTGTTAGAAAAATATTTATTTTTTCTCTGGAGTGCCCCTTAGATGCAACTTTCTGGAATTGGTTCTACTGATAATTGGCATGTGTTGGATCCATCCAAGTTTTTTTAAACGAAGCCTTTCAGGAAGCATAAAGTATTTTTGAGGCATGCGTTAGAGAAGATAATTATTTTTCTCGACGTGCCTCTTTCATGCCAGTTTCTCCAATTGGTTCTAATGATAATTGGCATGTGTTGCTTCCATCCAAGTTTGTTTTATTTTAAACCAAGCCTTTCAGGAAGCATAAAGTATTTTTGAGGCATGTGTTAGAAAAGATAATTGTTTTTCTCTGAAGTGCCCCTTACATGCAAGTCTCTGCAATTGGTTCTAATGATAATTGGCGTGTTGCTTCCATCCAAGTTTGTTTTATTTTAAACCAAGCCTTTCAGCAAGCATGAAGTATTTTTGAGGCATGTGTTACAAAAATAATTATTTTTCTCTGGAGTGCCCCTTAGATGCAAGTTTCTGCAATTGGTTCTAATGATAATTGGCATGTGTTGGATCCATCCAAGTTTTTTTAAACCAAGCCTTTCAGGAAGCATAAAGTATTTTTGAGGCATTTGTTAGAAAAGATAATTATTTTTCTCTGAAGTGCCCCTCACATGCAAAACTCTGCAATTGGTTCTAATGATAATTGGCGTGTTGCTTCCATCCAAGTTTTTTTTTAAACCAAGCCTTTCAGGAAGCATAAAGTTTCTTTGAGGCTTGTGTTAGAAAAAATAATTATTTTTCTCTGAAGTGCCCCTTACATGCAAGTTATTGCAATTGTTTTTAATGATAATTGGCATGTGTTGGATCCATCCAAGTTTTTTTTAAACCAAGCCTTTCAGGAAGCATAAAGTATTTTCGAGGCATGCGTTAGAGAAGATAATTATTTTTCTCGACGTGCCTCTTTCATGCCAGTTTCTACAATTGGTTCTAATGATAGTTGGCATGTGTTGCTTCCATCCAAGTTTGTTTTATTTTAAACCAAACCTTTCAGGAAGCATAAAGTGTTTTTGAGGCATGTGTTAGAAAAGATAATTATTTTTCTCTGAAGTACCCCTTACATGACAAGTCTCTGCAATTGGTTCTAATGATAATTGGCATGTGTTGCTTCCATCCAATTTTGTTTTATTTTAAACCAAGCCTTTCAGGAAGCATAAAGTGTTTTTGAGGCATGTGTTAGAAAAGATAATTATTTTTCTCTGAAGTACCCCTTACATGACAAGTCTCTGCAATTGGTTCTAATGATAATTGGCGTATTGCTTCCATCCAAGTTTGTTTTATTTTAAACCAAGCCTTTCAGGAAGGTTTAAGTATTTTTGAGGCATGTGTTAGAAAAAATAATCATTTTTCTCTGAAGTGCCCCTTACATGCAAGTTTCTGCAATTAGTTCTAATGATAATTGGCATGTGTTGAATCCATCCAAGTTTTTTTTTTAAACCAAGCCTTTCAGGAAGCATAAAGTGTTTTTGAGGCATGCGTTAGAGAAAATATTTTTTTTTCTCGACGTGCCTCTTTCATGCCAGTTTCTGCAATTGGTTCTAATGATAATTGGCATGTGTTGCTTCCATCCAAGTTTGTTTTATTTTAAACCAAGCCTTTCAGGAAGCATAAAGTATTTTTGAGGCATGCGTTAGAGAATATAAGTTTTTTTCTCGATGTGCCTCTTTCATGCCAGTTTCTGCAATTGTTTCTAATGATAATTGGCGTGTGTTGCTTCCATCCAAGTTTGTTTTATTTCAATTTAGGCCTTTCAGGAAGCATAAAGTAATTTTGAGGCATGTGTTTTAAAAGATAATTATTTTTCTCTGAAGTGCTTCTTACATGCAAGTTTCTGCAATTGGTTCTAATGATAATTGGCATGTGTTGCTTCCATCCAATTTTGTTTTATTTTAAACCAAGCCTTTCAGGAAGCATAAAGTATTTTTGAGGCATGTGTTAGAAAAGATAATTATTTTTCTCTGAAGTGCCCCTCACACGCAAGTCTCTGCAATTGGTTCTAATGATAATTGGCGTGTTGCTTCCATCCAAGTTTTTTTTTAAACCAAGCATTTCAGGGAGCATGAAGTATTTTTGAGGCATGTGTTGGAAAAATAATAATAATTTTTCTCTGGAGTGCCCCTTAGTTGCAAGTTTCTGCAATTGGTTCTAATGATAATTGGCATGTGTTGGATCCATCCAAGTTTTTTTTTAAACCAAGCCTTTCAGGAAGCATAAAGTATTTTTGAGGCATGCCTTAGAGAAGATAATTTTTTTTCTCGACGTGCCTCTTTCATGCCAGTTTCTGCTATTGGTTCTAATGATAATTGGCATGTGTTGCTTCCAACAAGTTTGTTTTATTTTAAACCAAGCCTTTCAGGAAGCATAAAGTATATTTGAGGCATGTGTTAGAAAGATAATTATTTTTCTCTGAAGTGCCCCTTACATGCAAGTCTCTGCAATTGGTTCTAATGATAATTGGCGTGTTGCTACCATCCAAGTTTGTTTTATTTTAAACCAAGCCTTTCAGGAAGCATAAAGTATTTTTGAGGTATGTGTTAGAAAAAATTTTTATTTTTCTCTGAAGTGCCCCTTACATGCAAGTATCTGCAATTTGTTCTAATGATAATTGGCGTGTTGCTTCCATCCAAGTTTGTTTTATTTTAAGCCAAGCCTTTCAGGAAGCATAAAGTATTTTTGAGGCATGCGTTAGAGAAAATAATTATTTTTCTCGACGTGCCTCTTTCATGCCAGTTTCTGTAATTGGTTCTAATGATAATTGGCGTGTTGCTTCCATCCAAGTTTGTTTTATTTTAAACCAAGCCTTTCAGGAAGCATAAAGTATTTTTGAGACATGTGTTAGAAAAAATAATTATTTTTCTTTGAAGTGCCTCTTACATGCAAGTTTCTGCAATTGGTTATAATAATAATTGGCATGTGTTGGATCCATCCAAGTTTTTTTTTAAACCAAGCCTTTCAGGAAGCATAAAGTATTTTTGAGGCATGCGTTAGAGAAGTTAATTATTTTTCTCGACTTGCCTCTTACATGCAAGTATCTGCAATTGGTTCTAATGATTATTAGCGCAGTGTCGTCTGCTTCCATCCAAGTTTGATTTTATAGGTCAAGTCTTTCAGGAAGCGTAAAAAATATTGAGGCGTTCATCAGAAAAAAACCTCTAGATTTTTTTATTAGATTGCCTTAAACAACCCTTTGTAATTTCTAAGGAAGGGAGGCGTTGACATTTGGTTAGTTCATTTAATTACCCTTTAATATATTTTTTAATATTCTGTCCATTTTTGTACAGCAGTTTTCAATCTAGACTAATTATTCTTGGTTTGATTTAGACAATGAACAAAGTTGCACAAACCAGTGATAAGCCGATCGTCATGCTCTCCAATCAACCCGAGAAGAAAATCATCAAATGCTTGATTAGTGTGCCGAAGGTAAAACATTTTTCTCAATGAATATTTCCATTCCAAATTGTAGTTAAAGCGGAACTGGGGGATTGGTGCGAGTTGTTAAAAGTTGATAATTTTGCAATACAGAAAATGCATTGCAATTTAATGTCTGTCTGATTCCAATTAATTGGTTTTTTGTACCTCAAATTATTTTTGTAAAAATCAAATGAAAGTGATGCTCTTTCAGTCAGATTTGCATGAGTTTAACACTTAAGCGTCTAGCACGTGATTTGTAATCGGGTACCATCAGTATTTTTGGCTGATGAAAAAGTGGGATATTTCCCCAGCTTATGTATGCCGTTGTGTTCACTGATTGCTTTTTTGTGTTTTTTTTTCTGTGTTTAAGAGTCGATGAATGTAGCTAAGACTCGTATATTGGTCGTTATGATGTTTTTTCGTTCTCCACGAAATAATATTTGTTCAGGTTCGTTAACGTTTTCGCGGTTTCACCTTCGATTTTCTTAAAAGCTTATATTTACTTTTTAAAGGACGGCAACTTAAACTAGCCGTTTATATCATTCGAAAGGTTTGTTGTCCTGAGCTTAAATTTGAAAAGATATTTCACCTGTGATCATTTTTCGTAAAGTTATGGGGTTTAAAGATTGCCTTTATGGCCAATTTGGGACAATTAACGCGCGATATAGTTCGCGCTAATAACGCGTTAGCGGAGATTTAATCCGCCTCAGAAATCGTTCCAAATTGGTTGATTGGTTGAAGGAAGCTTATTTGCCATAATTGTTTTGTTACTAGGAGCGAAATCTATCACTTTGTACTTCATATGGCGTGTGGGATGATATATATTCACAAAAAAATCTCAAATTGAGAAAAAAAAAACATTTTTTTTATTTTATTACATTTTCCATGTTACTGCTCCATAGACTTTGAAAGGCAGTCGGAACATTCAGGGCCTCGCCCAGATACGAGAAGTCTTGTTTACGTTAGGTTACCACAAGCTTATATAAAAATCTTATAAAATCTTATAACAAGCTTATATAACTAACACTAGCTTTTTGCGGTTTTTCTCCAAATTCACCAATGAAATTATTGATGTTAGCGGTTTTGCGATTGTTTTTTCAATACTGTAGCTCAATTAAGTTTTTTTGTTCGTTCTACTCTGAATTGAGTTATTTTTTTTGCATATACGTACTCTAAATTTACTTAGCTAAACTGTTCGCCCAAGTTGTGCAAACAACGTTCCTGCTCTGCCAAATTAAGTCTGCATTTTGATCTGACCTTTTGGATTTTAAGCAAAGTCAGTTTATGGTTTTTATCTAACGGGTTTTTATCGGGTGTTTTGCTATTGGTTTGATTTAAAGTCGATGAAGGTTTTTTTTTTTCAGTTTAAATCTTAAATTTTGTTATCGCTCTGTTGAGTATTTTCGACGTTTGACTTTTAATTTCTTTTCAAGTCCAGTTCTTTTCCTTTGTTAAAAAGAAGGCAAACCCACTATCGAACGGCAAAAGTGTTAAGGTCAAGAAAAATGTGATGGACTTCAAATTTCCCAGCGGAATAAAAATTTTATCTATTGATCCACGTTTTGCAAATTGATGTAAGTTTATCAAGTCAGTGTCAACCATAAGTCGTTCAGTTTTAAGAGATTTAAGTCCATATTTTTTTCACTCAGATTTTTTACTCGTTTCCAACTGTCTGTTGGCTCTATTTTTGAAATGCTTGATCTTTGACATCAAGCCTTGTTCTAAACTTTCGTTATTCCATCGAGTTGATGAGGTATTTTTTTCTAAGTATCTTTTGGGTAGAATAGGTTTGTTTAGTAAAAATTTATTGGCCGTTCCTTGGTTGTTGCTGAAGTTCTGTCATCTATTTGCCAAGCTTTTCATGAAGATCCAAAATGAATCTGTTCAATGGCGTTAATCTGGGCCTTAAGTTGATGTTCATCGTAAAAATTCTACTTTTTTCTTTTTTAATTTTTTAAGGTTCTGGCTGAAGGTGCTTATTAAGTTTTCGTAATTTTTCCATATATTTAATATATTTTTATTGATCCATTTATTTTTTATATGTCTCAAATTTTTCGAATGAGATTTCAATCAGATTTTTAAAAATTGTTTTGTTTTCCTGTTTCATCGCCCTGTTTTATGCTTCGCCCCTGTGCCGAGAAAAACCAGTTTGAAGATTTTCTCTTGATGGCGAATCAACGATGAAGATCACTCTTCTTATGGGTTGATTTTAAGCTCTATTATTTAAAAAGTCTCTCTTATTTTAAAAGTTATTTGTTAATAATGCCATATGTAGTCTTTTTACTGCATATTCATTAGCCACACTCTCAATATAAAAAATGAAGAAAATGAGAAAAAGTTTGAAAAAGATATTTTGTTCATTTTTCATTAGTATTTGCAAATTTAACTGTGGTCGGATCATTATGTACTACTTGTTCAAAAATCTGCTATTCTTTATAATTGAAGGATTGGTTTTTAGGCCTTCCATGTTAAAATCACTGCCGACACCTGGATGGATTCGCTTTCGAAGGGCGGAATTTCGTGCAAGGGAGGTGGGAAAGGAGCTAATGCTCAGGCCCAAATAGCAGTCAAACCCGAAGAAGTTGAGTCAACTATGGCGCAAATTGAGTCCATACTCGACAGTTGCGCTTCTTCTTTGCTGTGAAACGACTTGATTTTTTTTAAATGGGCGAATTAATCGTCCAATTTGTATCTACTAATTGAAATAATAATGATGGAATAATGATGCCAAGTTTTTGACTAACATGAATAAGCACATCAGCTGTTTTGTCTACATAATAATTATGCTTACATTAGCTTGAAAAAGGGGTAACAGCCAGTTACTCCAATGGACTGAAATTCCAATGTTTGCAAAAATGTCAATGTGTTGTAAGGTAGCGGTTGCATAATTTGGAAATGTAAATATCCTATTTATAATTTCGATTTTTTTTGCTGAATGTCACTTGAGTTTTGATAAATTTGTAATCTAACTGCTAGTGCTGAGCATGACTCGGTTGGAATGGAAATGACCCTTGTTTGGTGCTTGCTTAACCTTACCTAATCCTCTTTATTTTGATGAATATGGGTGCATCTTTTTCCATAATGTACTAACTTACTTCTGACCTTATTAATGGACTTTTTACCTTCTATTGAACCTTTTTCATTTTGACGCGGTATCTGTCTAGATTAGCTTCCTTGTTGCGTACGCGTACTAGATTGATGTTGAATGATGCCTCTTCGGAAGGCACTTTGTAACGCTCCCTGTAGAGAAATATTAAACCGTATATGTCTACGAAACGAAATGAGAGTACCACAATGAAAATTCTGTTTTATCCCTGAACATTCTGTTTTATCCCTGAAAACATGTCAAATTTGATAAGGAAGCTAATCCGTATAGGAACTAGAGACTCAAAAATGATCAATTTTGTGCTACGCTGTGCATCACAAAAGAAAACTTGAATACCGTTCAATTGAATGCGGTAAGTTCCGCATCAGGAAACACGCCAATTCTTTGTGTTGTCTGCCTGTTGAATTGTCGATAATAATCATTCTTTATGCCTTTGCATTTTGAAGCAAAGGTAAAATAAAGTGTAAATTACGTGTTCGGGACATGACATTTGATGGGCGATGCAATTTACCATTACTAACTTTCTCTTTTTCTTCAACTTGTATTTGAATTTGTTTTGGGCGTGTTCAGTTCCAAAGTTAGAATCCAGGTACATAATGATTCCTTTGATGGTAGCGGTTATGCAAATTGACTTATTGGTTTTCAGATAATTTGGAAGAAATCTCAAATTCGTGAGCATATACCCACCAGGGTGTGCTTCGGATATTTCCCCAAGCGACCACTTCAAAGTCTTACCTCATTATACAGCTGGAAGGAGAACTTTTCCGACCCCCTTTGGACCACCGAAAACGGAATATTGTGTAGAAATCATAATTTGGCACAATGATCAACTGAAGACAGAAAACTTGGACTGACTTCTGAAAGTTTATTTGATTTATCAACGGTGCAATATCTTATTATTCTTTGTGCAGTTATCTCCTGCAGAAAAGTCACAATGAGGTTAGTTTTAATTAATTCGGATTTCGATGAAAGTCTCTGTCATTGAAAGTAGTGAATACACTTCTACAGGTCATGCTCATTTTGAATTTTGATGAAAAGTTATCTATCTATTATTTAAGCGTAACGCCAAATGCTCTATGGACGGAATGTTCAAGCCATTTTATGGGGGGTTTGGTTAACGAAAACCATACTCAAGAGAGGTTTAACCAATCGAAAGTTGGGATAAATTGCAACTTTGACCAGAGATTTATGGCCAAATGTGTGAATATTTTAAAATTAAATAAATACTTTTTATTTCAAGGCTAGAATTATTATTGTCAAATGGATTATCTATCTATACATTATTTAACAGGCCTTTCACTTGACGCATGTTTGAGCAGTCTCTATGTTGACATGTTCAAATGCAAATATATTGGCACCTAAGGTTTACGGAAGTCAACGCTTTAAAGTTTTCTATACAAATAATGAGTTTGTCTTTTTATCCATACGAACAGTTGAGTGCATTTTTCCAAGCTCATATCCGGTTTTCATCAGATATCTATTGGAGTTTTTCGCGGAAGTTGTCCGTTTCACAAAAAATAAAATAAACAGTCTTATGATGGGGGTGCTCTCAAAGTTCTCCCAGCGGTTGCAAATTTGGTCTCAAAATTCCTTGTAGCTTGCTAGTTTTAGCGCTTTAATTGTTTTAAGTGGATTTTTCGAAAAAAAAAAGTATTTTAGCAAGTAACTTTCACGTTGTTTTGCGTTGTTTTATTTTCAAAAGCTTAGGTCTAATATTTAGCAGGCCATATTCGCCGACAAGTTCTTGAAATCGTTTGATTACAATTACACCTGCGAAGCAATGTGTTATAGTACGAACTTTCTTTTTTTTCCAACCTAATTCGCAAATATTGTTGCGACTTTTGTTGCGACTGAAAGCAACATTATTTGCTGCGTCGAGTTTGCTGCATCGAATTGACAATAAGATATTCTGATGTTTTGTTGCACCTTTGGCATTTAGTTGCACCTTTACAGCCTATTGATAGCATGTGCTTTGACATTCGAATAGTTATAAGTTTACACAGTTGATGCATTTTTAATTCATCAAGTGAACCGAAGAAGGCTATTTGTTTGAAACAACATAACAATATTAAAATCTCGATATATCTCGCAATTTTTTGAAATGCATAACTTATATATAATTTGGTTTTATGATTTGCGATTTTTTACATGCTAAATTGTATCTTTTTTTTTGTTTGATGCTACTTTTGCTACATCGAATTGGCAATTAATTAGTATACGTAGCTGCATATTGGTGGCTAGTTATTGGGGATTTTAAGCATCCGTGACTTATCAGTGTGTGAGGCTCAAATTTGTTAGGTCGCTGAACATTTTAAAATTGTTTTTAAATAAAATGTTGGTATTTTATATAGTAAAAACGACCTTTTTTGTCTCTCAAACAAAAATAAGTAACTTATACAATGTTTTGGAGAATTTAATCTTCTTAAAGTTTGTTGGGCTACGTAAGGGGCTCACTTTGATGTAATTATGTCTGTGATCGACTGGGTAATTTTGGCGTAATTTTTGATTAACTAAGAAAAGCCAAAATGACCCATTTTTGGGGTAAATTTTTGGGCCTGAATTTCGCAAAATAAATTACATCATGATAATTCTGCTAAAATTTTAAGCAAGTTTTGTCTTCTTAAGCTTTCACTTAAACTCAACCCAATTTGAGAAAAACACGTTTTAAATTTCAAGCTTAGCTCGTTTTGTCCGGTTAATTTAAATCAGCACTGTAGTGTTGTATTACGAAATGTTTTTTTTTTCAAAACCCAGATAGCCATTAAAAGCGCTCTTTTCATGACGTTTTTGCTGCATAGCATTGGCAATTTAATTGCACTGTTCTATCTGCTTTATTTGTGGTTTTTTTTAAACGATAGAATGTGTGCTTAGCCATGCATGTACTATGGTGTGGTGGTCAACTCAAACCTTTTGAAATAATTGTTTTTGGTACGGGTAGTTTTTCAAATGTGTTGTGTGCGATTTCGCGTCGGTGTCTATGATTTTTTTTCTAAATCTGCTAAACGATAATTGGAGTATGAATGTTTTTAATACCAAATTGTCATTTACTTTTGAAATAATCAGGCTATTTGAACATAAGTTTCATTAGTGAAAATCACTAGTGAGCGAGGGAGATGGCGATTAAACACACTATAGTTCGCTGCGCTGGAATTCGGTACCTGTGGCATTGGCAGAGAAAATCGGGGCTAACTATTTTATGTACTTACCGGCACTTATGACTATAGGCCTGCTTCTATTTGATTTTTAACCGCTGGCTTAACCCTCTAATCAAATTTCAGTTGAACTAAAGTTGTATCTGAACTGAATTGTCTGGCTGAATAGTCTGGATATCTTAGCCTGAATTTTGCATCGTCATTTTTTACATTTGCGGTACTTGAAAAAGAAATTCGTTTGTCTTTGACCTGTTCGAAAGCCTCGGTGAATGCAGCGAAAACAGCAATTTTAATCTTCGGGTTTTTTCATGGTTAAATAAACGGTTATTATATTAGAATTTGCATTTAATTGCTTTTATCCAACTTTGGCGTTGTGGGTCGATTCTTTCAAGAAGCGTTAATAGTTTTGAGGCGTTCATCCGAAAAACTCCAAGGTTTCTATTTCAGTTTGCCTCAAACAACCAACCAAGCCTTCAGGAAGCATAAAGTTTTTTTGATGCATGCGTTAGAGAAGATAATTGTTTTTCTCGACGTGCCTCTTTCATGCAAGTTTCTGCAATTGGTTCTAATGATAATTGGCGTAGTGTTGCTTCCATCCAAGTTTGTTTTATCTTAAAACCAAGTCTTTCAGGAAGCATAAAGTATTTTTGAGGCATGCGTTAGAGAAGATAATTGTTTTTCTCGACGTGCCTCTTTCATGCAAGTTTCTGCAATTGGTTCTAATGATAATTGGCGTAGTGTTGCTTCCATCCAAGTTTGTTTTATTTTAAACCAAGTCTTTCAGGAAGCATAAAGTATTTTTGAGGCATGCGTTAGAGAAGTTATTTATTTTTCTCGACGTGCCTCTTACATGCAAGTTTCTGCAATTGGTTCTAATGATTATTGCTGTAGTGTTGTCTGCTTCCATCCAAGTTTGATTTTATAGGTCAAGTCTTTCAGGAAGCGAAAAAGATTTTGAGGCGTTCATCAGAAAAACCATAAGGTTTTTCTCAGCTTGCTTTAAACAATTTAATTTGTTTTGATTTTGATTAGTATTTGTAATCATGTTGCTTCTTTCCAAGTCAGGAAGCGTAAAGTTGTATTGTGGCAGAGAAGATTTTTTTTCAACGTGTCTCATACAAGCAAGTTTTTGCAATTTTTTGTGACAGTTTGCTTAGTTTTATTTGATTTTATCCAAGTTTGATTTTATAGAGCAAATTTTTCTGGAATTGCTAAACTCAAGATGAGTTCATGAGAAAAACCTCGAAGTTTTGTATGGAATTCGTATTATGTTGTTTAATGTTTTTGCTTCGATCCACTCTTGCTTTTCTTTTGAGTCAAGTGTTACAGGAAGCCTGATAACTGGTCTATTTTGGTTAGCTTCAATTTGAAAGTTTAGCTTCCAATTATTTTGGTTAGCTTCTAGTCTTTCAGGCCGCTTTAAAAGTTACATGAGTTCAACCTGCCATAAACTACTTTTTTTAAATTTCGTGGTGTGTAATTTGTTTGCTGGCAAGTGCGTTTTTTATTTAAAATGCGTCTCAGGAAACAAAAAGTTTCGCTCAATGCAGTGAAAAGAGCAAAAAGATAGAACATACAAAGCTAATTAAAAAGAGCAAATGCGTTTTTATATTCCTACAGATGACGGAAAATTTTTGCATGCAAAAGCTTGTTTTCAATCAGAAATTTGACTAAGTCACCTAAAATTTCAAATTTGATAAAGATTTGTTCAAAGTTTGAAGACAGCTGTTTTCTATGAATTTTGCTCTTTTTAGTAAGTTAGTTCCAATTTTTTCCATTGTTTTTTTAGAAGCTTAGTGAGTTTTGTTCACACTCATATAGGTGCTTCAGCAGTTTGATTTCTCAAGCGAGTGTTTTGGATTCTCTTTCCGATAATCTCAAAGTTCGCAAATGGCGCAAATTCAAACGTGTTGTTATCTTAAAAACATCAGGGAAATAAGTTCTTAGCAGTATTGATTTTTTCTGACCTTTCTCGTTTTTTTATTGTTCCGACTTTCGATACGAAAGTAACGGAATATTTGTGCTCGGGGTGGGTTTTTTTTTCTTCAGACAAATTTCGACTTTTTAACTAGCCACTTTTGACAAAATTTTTTAACATCATTCGAAAGGTATTGTTGCCTTGAGCTCAAATTTGAAAAGATATTTCACCTGTGATCATTTTTTAGGTATGGGGGTTTGAAGATTGCCATTTTGGCCAATTTGGGACAATTAACGCGCGATATATTTCGCGCTATTAACGCGTAAGCGGAGAGTTAATTCGTCTTAGAAATCGTTCCAAATTGGTTGAAAGAAGCTTATTTGCCATAATTGATTTGTTACAAGGAGCGAAATCTATCCTTTCGTACTTTACATGGCGCGTGGGGGATGATTTTAAAAAAAAAATTAAATTTTAGAAGAAAAAAAATTTCATTTTGTTTTATTTCATTTGACTTTTTAATGTTATTACTGCCCCATAAACCTTAAAAGGCAGTCGGAACATTCAGGGCTTTGCCCTGATACGAGCAGTCTTGTTAGTGTTTATTTTTGCTATTGTATGCGTGGCAACGCTCAATTAATATTTTGTTTGTGAATGCGGGGCAGTACAACAGTGTCAAAAATAAAATAAGGTTCAACAGTGCCGAAAATTATTGGAATACTATTTGTACTGAGCTCAATACACCGAGTAGTTTTATTCAGATTGACTTAAAATGAAAAGACAAAATTGGCCAATTGAATGGGTATCGATCGTTTAGCAGACCAATCTTTTAGCATAAAGCTTCAATAAGTGAAAAATCTGCCTTTATAGCAGACCAACGTAATAAAGTGATGGATTATTGATGAAAGACTCGAAAAGACGCTCAGTCTGGGGCCAAGCTTCCCCAATTAAGACAATTATCTCAAGATTTGTCAACAAAACTAACAACTTCAAAAACACAACTGTCTAAATTAGCGGCATATCAAAGATTTACGCGTACAATAACACTCGTGTTGAATTGAAGCGCAGTGGTGCAAGCGGTCGCGCTAATCGCCAATGCCGCGTTTGCAGTTATCTGACTTTATAATTGCTCTGAGTCTGCTAAAAGATTGGTCTGCTAAAAAACCGGTCTGCTAAAATTCCTAGCACCCATTTTAATGTATGCCGCATGTTAAACAAACAACAGTTCCTCAAGCACAGCTTCCTAATTTTTGCTGCACAAACAATTAGCTCCGAAGTTTTTGTATTTTTTTTATCGGTTTTGCTCCACAGCAAAACAGTATTCACGCACAATTGCGGGGGCATTCAACAGTGCCGAAGTAGAACAGTGCCGAAAAAGTCGGAAAAATTTCAGAATCATTTAACTCATGTTCTAAAGATCGGGAAATTACTGACGCTAATGAACAAATCACTCCAATTTTGGCTCCAAAATGTCTGCAACTGCAAGTTAAACATTTTTTTTGGCGCCAAAACTTCTAAGTTGCAAATTTTCTTGCTCAAAATCTTAAAGTGTCTTTCAAAATTGTAAACGTTCGCCGTTAAATTTCTAATTGCCGCTATTATGTTGAAATTTAAAGTTTTCGGCACTGTTGAACAAAGTTTTCATTTTCGGCACTGTTGAACTTATTTTTTACGGCACTGTTGTACTGCCCCAAAATAGATCATTATTCGAGACATACGTTTAAGAGTAATGAACGTAGTGAAGACTCTTATATAGGTTTTGCTGATTTTTTTGTTTTTTTTTTTAAGGCAAAAGTCTGCAAAAGTCTCTAATGAGCACAGATGTGCATTCATACATATTGATGCATTAATGAATCTGTTTAGATATATATAGGCATTTTGAGTTCAATTGAAATTTATCTGTTTAAAGGGACGGAAATAGCACTCTTCAAAAAATTGTGAACAATTTTTAGTTTCGAAAATGGAATTTAATTTATAGATTTTCAGCAGAATAAATACTTTACCAGTTGATCCAGTTTTCTTAAGTTGGGTTAGGTTTATCAAAAAAGTGCCCATCATAAATCGTTCTAGAAATTCAAAGAGCTCAATGGGCATCATTTTTTTTTTGAAATTCGAAGTTGAGAGTTTTTTTCAACAAAGTCGGGTTTTTTTTTGCGTTCATTACTCTTTTCCAATCTTCGATTGGCTATGTTTTTAGATTTAGTTTTTTCGTCAGTTTTCAAATATTTTTCATGCCATTTTTAAAGTTATTATATTTTTATCCACTAACTTTTTTATAAGTGTTATGCAGTTTTTATAAGTGTTATGTTATAATTGAGAAAATGTGTTTACACAAGCAATGCTTGTGTTATAGTATGAACTATCTTTTTTTCCAACCTAAGTCGCAAAGATTGTTGCCATAAATTGTGTTCTTTTCGAAAGTGTTCATTTTGACCAATAACCAATTATTAAATACAGCCATTGCTGAGGATTATTAAGTACAGCCATTGCTGAGGGGGGTGATTTTCACAAAATTAATTTTTTTTGTTACATTTGATTTTTTCATGTTATTACTGCTCCATAGACTGCTGCATAAATTGGGGCATGTTAGTTAGTAAATTAATTTTTTTAGCAAATTGACTGGTACTGCTAATGCATCATAATTGGCGTGCGTCACTTAAGAAGTTTTGTTTGTAGACTCAAAATTTTACTCATTCAGTTTTTCCCAGTAGCGTTATCGGTCATATTTTTGCTGCTGTGTCATTGTTTGTTCTAAAAAGTTATCTCAAATACGTTTCATAATGTTCTTTTTGATTGAACCTTTAACTGTGGATTTTTTTAGTTGTCAACTTAAATCTATTATCTATCTATCTATATCTATCTATACTATATTTAAATGCGAGTGACAGCTATCTCCCATGTTTAAGCATAATAATTTTGCATGTTTAACGAAAGAATTTTTTCATGTTTAAGCTATATCATATCTTGCAATGCTTAAGAAAATTTTTCAATTAGTTTTTCGCAAGGTCATTAATTTTTCAGTATCTTTTTCGAGGCCTATTTAAGTCTGTCTGTCTGTATACCTGCTTTTTCGAGGCCTAATTTGATTATGTCTGTCTACCCGTTTTTTAACTTTCATCAATTATCTATCTATTATCTAATATTTTATATTTAAATGCGGGATTCACTCTCTCGCCATGTTTAAGCTTTTTCAACGTATTAGTTTTGTATGTTTAACAAATGAATTTTTTCACGTTTCAGCTATATCGTATATTGCAATGGTTAAGGTTTTTTTTCGATTTTCCAGTGTTTAAATTCAGTGTTTATTTCGTCAAGTTTGAAATAAGCAACCTGAAAGTGGTATGTTGTCAGAGTTTTCCCAGGCTTTGCGATTCTGGCCTCCATATATGAATAACCAAATCCTTGTACTTTACGAGATAGGCAATTTTCGAGATGTTTCAAAAATTTCTAAAAATAATTAAATTTAAAAAATTTCTCAATTTGTAAAATCCGTACCCTGTAGTTGGGTGCTGCCAGTTTACTCTCAGGGGTTGCGAGTCTTGCCTTTCATTATGGCTGCTCGAATCCTTGTAGTTTTCGAGATATGACGTTTTTTTTTCAAAATTTTTCAGAAAATTTAGACAGAAAATTTCACAAAACTTGAAATTGCCATCTCTGTAGTGAGGCTCTGTTAGGGTACTCTCAGGAGTTGCAATTTTTGCCTCCCAAAATGACTGCTCAAATCTTTGTAGTTTTCGAGATATGACGTTTTTTTTTATTTTCTCCGAAATTTTCAAAAAAACTTAAATGTCAAGTTCCAAAACTTTGAAGACATCAATCCTGTTATTGGAATCTTTGAGAGTACTATCCGGGGTTTGCAAATCTTGCCTCTGAATGGGACTGCTCAAAATCTTGCAGTTTTCCAGATATTACGTTTTTTGTGATTTTTTTCAAAAAAATTTTCATGAAAATTAAGTTAATTTTTTTTTCAAATTTTGAAGTTTTTAACCCATAGTTGGGGGACTGTCAGAGTAATATCAGGGGTTGCAAATTCTGCTTACATTTAAGAATGCTCAAATCATTTTTGTTTAAGAGATAGACGATTTTTGTGATTTTTTAAAGAAATTTTCAGAAAACTCAAATTACAAAATAATTCGTTGAAGTGAAATTTCCAAGACTGTAGTTGTGTACTTTCAAAGAATGCGAATATTCCCCTCAGAAAAGACTGCTCAAATTTTTGTAGTTTTCGAAATAAGAATTTTTTTAATGGTTTTCAAAAAAAAATACCTCTTTTAGTGAAACTTATCAAAATTTGAATTTCCTAACGTTGTAGTTGGGTACTGTAAGGGTACTCTCAGGAGTTGCAAATCTTGCGTCCAAATGCGACTGCTTAATTGCTATCAGTTTCCCAGATGTGACGTTTCTCAGTTCATTTTAAATTTTTCGAAGAACTTATATAAAACTTCACAAAATTCTATGGTTCTTCAAAGTTTGTTTAATAAACTTGAAAAAACATAGCAAAATTTTTAATTACGAACCCTGTAATTGGGTGCTGTCAGAGTACACTCAAAGAATGGTGTTTTGAGTTGAAAATTTGAAGCACCGGAGGTGCGGTACACGCTAGTCTATCTATTATATATTTAAATGCGGGCTTCACTATCTCGCCATGCTTAAGCTTTTTCAACGTATTATTTTTGCATGTTTAAGCTATATCGTATATTGCAATGGTTAAGAATTTTTTTTTCGATTTTGCAATTTGATTTTAGTGGTTATTTTACGGAGTTTAAATTAAGCAGCCCAATATCGAATTAGGGGTTGCGAATTTGGCCTCCAATTTTGAATGCCCGAATCGTTTTAGTTAACGAGATAAGACGATTTTTGAAATTTTTCACAAAATCTGAAATTTCCAGCCCTTTAGTTGGGTACTGTCAGAGAACTATCAAGGATTGCGAGTCTTGCCTCCAAATATGACTGCTCAAATCCCTCACTCAAATTCCTAACTCTATAGTAGGGTGCTCTCAGGGACTCTCAGTGGTTGCAAATCTGGCCTCCAAATTTCTCCAGAGGCCCATAAGTTTTCGAGATGACGCTTTTAAAATGGGAATTAAAAATTACCAACCCTCTGTAATAGGGTGCAGTCAGAGTAGAGTACACTTAAAGTTTGCAGATGTTGTTTCCAATATATGCGGTTTTTCTTGAGTTGTCGAAAAATTTCGAAGCACCGGAGGTGTGTTAAACGCTAGTTTAAATTTAAGTCAGCTCAAAAAGTGAATTTACACGCGTTATGACACCCACTAAATTTCATCATCACTTGATTGTAATCTTTGACTTTGACTTTAATGTTAGATATCTGTTTTTTTTAATAGTATATGTTATTTGTTATATTAAACCGCATTTGGTGTACAAGTGTTAAGTGGATTTGCTTTCTTACTTCTCAAGTAACAACTATCATGTTTAGTGACTTGCATGTGAAGGTGATCAATGGAGCCGCAGCCGGTGTCTTAGGTGAGTATTTTTAGATTGCACCAAAGGGTTTCGAGCGCGTCTGAAATAATATTTTTTGGCGAAACCTCTTGGGAAGAATAGCTGGTAATAAGAGGTTATTGCGTTTCTCAGAATTCATATGCAGAGTATGGTTATTTACATTGAAGTTTTACAGTTTTTGAATTGCGGATTTTCAAAAATTTTGCTAGTGCACCCAGAACAGTACATAAACCCTATTTTGCCAAAAAAAATTAGCGCATCGGGCAAATTTTTGAAAATTTTTTTTGTCAATGTCGTTTTTGGGCACTTTTTGGAAAATTTTGAAATGCGTTTTTTAACGCTCTCCTTCAAAATAAGCTTTATTGGCGTCTTAAGAAAAATTTTAGGGTTGGTGTTTCGAAAATGGATGTGATCAAATAATACCCCCTCCCCCTTAAATCCGCCCCTGCTCCTATTAATCAAAAGAATGCAAATAAAGTTCAGCCTGGCAATAAATAGGTTTTAGTTTTTATGTCAGAATTTTTAACTGATCTTGTCTTAATTATTTGAGGTAAAAGATGGCGAATACGATTACCTGTAGTTTTTTTTGGATACCAGGGCGTTAATTGTATGCTAGTAGTCTGGGTTGGCCTAGCAATTCAAATCCTTTTACCAGACCTATTTTACCTCTTTACCCGTACCTTCCATCAGCACAAATGTGAATGAAGCTTAAGAAAGTGTGAAAATGCATTGGTGAAAGTTAAAAGGAAGACGCATGGTTGACAATTCGGGAATGATATATCTTGTTCACACAAGTTATTACCCTTGTGGTAAGCAAGAGTATTGCAATAGGGTACTAGACATTTTTCCCGTAAATAACTTCCCACAGAATGGTCGATTTAAGTATCAGTGGTAAATTTCACTACTGCAGATTGCTGACAGGCTCAATTTCTTGAAAATTTAAATAAAACTACCACAATTTAGGTACTAATTAGGGGAAGTTCGTTTCAGGTAAAGCTTTTCTTTCAAAAAAAATTCTTGAAAAAGATTTTTTTTTCGCATTCGTGGTTTTCGTCCTAGTTTTTGTCGGCTCATTTTCTCTTTTTTTAATGCAGTTTGTATTATCTGGTACGTTTTTTGTACCTACGTTCCAAAGCACAGGCTTTTTTTTAACTAAAATTGAAAGTTCTGCAATTTGTGATATTTTTTTCCCTTTGACGGTTTTGGCTGACATTATTTTAGCTTAGTCAAATTATGTTGCGTAGTTTTGACGGTAAAGTATATCTTAATGCTTTTGTGTTTCGTAAAAAATTTTAAAACTTAATAGCTCAAAATTTTTTTATGACAACCATTTTTTCGGCTAATTTCTTCTCTTCATTCTGTTCTTTTTGCAAATCTTTTCAGTAATATTGATCCTTAACATCTTCTCAATTGGCCTCGCGTTTCGACCGGGCCTTGTTTTTTGTTTAGTTTGTATGCAATTGACAAAAAAAATTGGTTAAAATTGAATTGTCGGATTTACTTGCGTTATTCTGCTCAAATTTTGTCTGCTAAGTTTCCTTTATCTAGGTTTTGTTTGAGCTGTAAGCAACTTTCAATGCAACTGCAAGTGCAGTGGGGAACTTAAACGATTTAAAAAAGGTCGTAAAATCATTTTTGTATGGCTCAACTGGTGTCTGCTCAAAGGTTGTCGTCTTATTTTCTACATTGCCGTTTTTTGTGTGCAAAGCAACTTTCATTTTAATTGCAAGTGCAAGTATTGTTTATTGTAGTTTTAGGTGGGCCTTAAGTTTTGTTCCGTTGCTAATTTAATATTCAAATTTCTAAGATTTTTGACTGGAATGAGTTTTAATTGAGAAATATCGAGAAATTTAAAATTTTAATAGACCTTGTTTTTTATTTTTCGTAACTTTTTTCTCTTTTATTACTTATGTTTTTCATGTGTTTGTTGCATCGCAAGTGGAAGCTGTGTAAAATATTGGTTTCTTCTGTTTTTTTGGACATAAAACGCAGTTTTGGGTGACCCTGTATTCTTATTTAATCCAAGTGTTTAGCGTCTGCTGATGAAGTGATCGGTCCGATTTTCAATGCCTTAGTGTGTTGAATAGGCGTGGCGACTACTTTTCCTCTGGATCTGGTGAAGACCAACCTGCAATTGCATCCTACCTCCTATCAGGGTATCCGAGACTGCTTCCGCAAAATTTACTCCTCGGGAGGACTCGTATCTTTCTACAGGGGTATGTGAAACAAATAACTCCAAAATAAATCAGGAACTAGTTTTCAGAGCGTATTTTCCAAAAATTTATGATCATCTTAACATTTTTGTCTATCGAATGCAAAATGCGATCCTTTCGTAGTAATTTTTTTGTGTAATGTTAATTGTGACATAGTTTATTGTACACCATCGCCTACGGCATATTCTTTGTATGATCTAACTTAATTTGGTTTCAGGTATTAAGCCGAATCTTTTGCTCATTTCTCCCGAGAAAGCGATCAAATTATCTTGCAATGACATTTTCAGGAAACAGCTTCTTGGCAATCGGTGAGTTTAATTTGCAAATGATTGATCTAATCAATCTAATTTATTGTGTGTGTGTGCGGGGAGATGAGTTGAATCTATATGTTAATATGGGCTAGGTTGTGGTATTTTGCATATTTAGCGCATATGTTATGAGTTGTTCTGCTCTGCTAAATTTTAGAAAAAAAGCGCCTTTATAAAAAAATATACAGAAGTATGGCTTCATTATGCAAAAAAATGCATCAACGAAATTTTATCAAGCTTTAGGCATTTTATACTAAAATTAAAATTCCTTGCAATGTGTTCTGCTTTTGTGCAAATAATTTGTTCCAAGAAGTTTTGCCGACTTCTTTTTAATGACATTATAAATGCAAGTACATATGCCAGTACGTGTGGTCACCCTGTATTCTTATTGAATCCAAGTGTACGGAAAAATTCTGATGCAGAAAGTTATGCAGAACTTTGATTTTTTTTTGAAAAATATTAATTAAGTTGCTGTTTTACACTTAATTTTACGCTGTAATTCGGACTTAATTTTACGCTGTAATTCCGTGAAGCTTATCGTGTTGCTTCTGTGGTTACACTTTTCTAACCATATGTTGCCTGTTTTTTGACAATTTGATTTTCCTACAAGATGGTTTTCTTTAAACTAAATGATAGAAATATAGCACTTTTCACTATTATATTTAATACTTTCCAGTTATGTCAAATCGTGAGTAATGTCAAATTCTTCTCTTTTCTTCTGAGTGAGGGAAGGTTTTTATCTCCGAATGACAAAAATGTTCTCCTTAATAATCAACTGATCTCTTCAATATAACTTTTAAATTGTTCTTAAGAGTCTAACCGTCGAATCCGTTTGGAAAACGTCTTCCGCAGGTGTAATAGTCTAACCGTCGATTCCGTTTAGAAAACGTCTTCCACTGGTGTACGAGTGCATAGCGGGCGGCGGCGCTGGACTTTGTCAAGGTGTCATCACAACTCCGATGGAGCTCTTGAAAATCAGAGGTCAGGCTAGATTGGCAGTGGCTGCATCTTTGACCAACACGGCAGCTCCCTCAGCGAATCTCAACTCGAAACCAAATCAGTCTTCCTATGCTAATGTAAAACAGACCTCAAATTTGTCAACTAAGGTAGAAAGTGGAGCTTCTCAGAAACCAAGCGAATCGACCATTTTCAAAGAGTGTGTAAAAATAGTAAAAAATGAGGGCTTTAGAGGCATTTATAAAGGTGCGGGTCCGACCTTGATGCGAGATATTCCGTTTTCGATGTGCTATTTTCCGATGTTTGCGCACTTGAATCATGCCAATTTGAATGCAGACGGCACCTCGAAGCCACTGTGGTCTCTGGTATCAGGAGTGGGCGCGGGCGCCTTCTCCGCTTGGATCGTGACACCACTTGACTGTTAGTGGTTTGTTGTTAAGAGTCATGAACGTAGTGAATACTCTTAAATAGGTCTCAGTGATTTTTTTCGTTGGTTTTTTTTCAAGAAAAAGTCATAAAATTTGTTCTCGGTCAAGTTCGATTTCCTTTTTTAAATTCATTTCATTTCCTTTGTTAAAACGAAGGCAAATTCCACTATGGGACAGCAAAGGTTAAATGATCACCAAAAATATGATCGACTTCTAGTTTCGAAAGTGGTATTTAATTTTCAGACTTCCAAACGGAATGAAAAATTTACCGATTGACCCAGTTTTCTTGAATTGGGTTAATTTATCTATAAGTGTCAATCAAAACTTTTCTGAAATCCAAAGAGCTTTAAGACCAATATTTTTCTTTGAAGTTCAAAAGTTGTTCTTTCAAAAATAGGTTTTTCTGTTTGTTTTCTGTTTACTTGCGTTCATTGACTCTTTTCCAACTGTTTGATGGCTATGTTTGATTTTTGAGCGTTAATGAACAAAAATTTTACAGCTATTTAGGGTGTGTGGTTTTTTAAGGAAAAAACTGTTCAAGCGTAAGTTTCATTTTTCATTGTAAGATTTTGAAGTTCGATTCAATATCATTTGCTTAAAGTGGGGCATAAAACGTTAATTAATTTAAGGTTCCTAAAGATGTTGTAATTTCAGAATTCCCGGCCGCATAAAAACTTACTTTTTGACCCAGTTTCTCTAATTAGTTAAGCTTGATGAAAAAGTTGTCAATTTAACGAAATTAATGACAATCAAATTGCTTTGTCATCATTTATTTTTTCTCCGAAATTGAAAGTTAGAAAGAGAATTCATCTTATTTTTTTGGTTTCCTTGTTCACTGATCCTTTGCCACCTGTCTGCTGGCTACGTTTTTTGAAATTCGTGTGATATCTAAAGGTAGCTAATAGTAGGCTTGTCGAGGATTTACGAAATTTCAGAGGTTATTTTAGTGGAATATTATTCCTTCGTTTCGATATACTTATTCAAGCTTAAGTTTGGTCGAAGGTGTGTTTACTCATCAAGTTTTTTGTTTAGATGTGAAAACTCAAATTCAATCTCCGACAGCAAAAGAAGGCCTAAAGATTCATACACTTATTGTGTAAGTATGTTCGATCAACTTTTATTGTTCCGACTCTTGAAAATGATGAAGATAATTGTCATAGGGTGCTTAAGATCAATGAATGTTGTGAAAACGCTTCTATAGGTCTTGCAGATTTTTTTTTTCAGGAATAGTCTTAATTAACTACAGATTTATAACTAAGATAACTACGATAACTAAGAATAACTAGAGTTTTATGCATTTATTAATGCACTGATGCATATATGCACTTTTTCTTTTGAGTTCAATTGAAATTCATCTGCTGATAGTGACGTAAATAGCACTTTCCAAAATTTAACGTCGAAATGGCGCGAAAAAACGAACGTGGAATTTAATTTCTAAAAAAACTCCTATCCAGCAGAAGAAAAACTCTACCTATTGATCCAGTTTTCTCTAGTTGGGTTCATGTTATCATAAAAGCGCCAATCATAAATTGTTCAAGAAATTCAAAGAGCTTAAATGGTATCTATTTTTTTGTGAAATTCGAAAGTTAAGATTTTTTCAAGACAGTTAGTGTTTGTTTGTTACTTGCGTTCATTACTCTTTTTTGCCAGTGTCAATGAAAGTCGGTTTACATTTTAACATACGTCAAATTTTGAGCGAGTAGGTCTTGTTAAAGAAAATCTTTATTTAAGAACTAAAAACTTATTGATTCGAACAATTTTTTAAAAATTTTCTTAGTGTCAATGAAAGTCGGTTTATTTTTTAACAGACGTCTAATTTTGAGCAAGTAGGTGTTGTTAAATAAACTCTTTATGTAAGAACTAAAAACTTAGTTTACCTCTGGATGTTTTGGAAGCTTCATTTGGAGCTTCCTTAGCAATAAAATGTTTTTCAAAATCAAAAAGTTAATCTGCAAAAGATTAAGATAAAACTTTGGCACTTTTTCTCTGAATTTTTCCCTTATTTAAGATCGATGAGTGTAATAAATACTCTCACTCGTGTTGGTTTTTAAGAGTACTGAACTTAGTGAGTACTCTTATATAGGTCTTGCTGATTTTTTATGTTTTTTTTTTCAGGAAAAACTCAAAATTTGTTCACGCTCATTTTTGGTTTTTCGCTGTTTGACTTGTGATTTTTTTCAAGCTCAGTGCATTTTATTTTAAAAATGAAGGCAAACTCCACTATCAAACAGCAAAAGCTTAATGGAGACGAAAAACGTGATCGGCTTCTAATTTCGAAAATGGAAGTTAATTATTAGATTTCCGAGCGAAATAAAAATTTTGCCTATTGATGGGGTAGATTTTTCAAAAAAAAAAATGTTCATCATAATCAAATTCAAAGAGCTTTTAGTTCATCTACTTTTTTTCTTCGAAATTCAAATGTTGAAGTTTTTGAAAAAAAACAAGTCAGTTTTTTTTTCAGTTTCCTTGCGTTCATTACACTTTTCTACCTGTCAGTTGGCTATATTTTAAGGATTTACATTTTTCTTTGAAATTATTTGACAAATTTAACTTCCTTACTTTTTGTATCTAACTTCTCGAGGAATGAAAAGTCTGGAAAAGTCGGAAATCAGTTTGGCAGGTTAGACAGTCCCGAGTTGGTGATATGTTGGTGCCTTTTTTGGTTTCAGAGATACAATAAGCAAACAGGGTCCAAGAGGACTGTTCACAGGCGCACTTCCAAGAGTCATGGTGGTGGCCCCATTGTTTGGAGTCGCACAAGCCACCTACTACATTGGGTTGGGCGAGAGAATTTTGGGACGCCAGGACTGGGACAAACCTATCTAGGGAGGAGGGAAACCCTGCCACCTCTTTTAAAACTGACAGTCAACACTTGATCTGTATTGTTGTTTAGATTTAGAAATAACTTAGCACTGTGAGAAACACTGTCAAACAATTGTGCCATGAATTGACCTCAGCCAAAAACTGACCACGATAAAAGCTTTAAGAAATGACCAAACTTCTTATCCACAATTAAAAGAATAAAATTTAGAAAAATCTTGTTATATTTGGTAGTCGATGTAAATCGCATCAAACATTTTCCATATTTATGCATTCCACGTTCATTGCCTTGCAATTTATAGCTGCTAGATACGGGTTGTGATTTGTAAATTTAGAGCTGTAAGTTCGGAAATGTTTTCTCGCCAATTGTCTTAGCTTGTAGGATAGTAAATTGTTCTCAATGGCATTAATTATATCTAATGTAAAAAAAATTGAAGGAGTTGAATTGAATTTGATCTCCTGTATCGTTAGTTTAACATAAGCAAATCTTACCGAGTGACGTTATGAGTAACTAAAGGAACTACGAAAAAATGATAGTAATGTGATATTTCTGTCTTCATGAAAGGGGCTTTTTAGTCTCAAGACGTTTCTTTCAAAGCTTCTTACATAGATGGGCATATTGTAAGTAAGGATGGGCAACTAACAACAACAATGTTGAAAGTAGCAAAGAAGTTCCGACAGCAATTTTTTCAAAATAAAATTGATTAAAAAAACTACAAAAAGTTGCAGTAAACACGCTTACTCAAGCTGCATAAACTAAACTAGTTTTAACGTATATATTGATTGGTTAGACCTAAATACCAATGTTATTGCAGGACGTGAAAGAAACTTCTTCATCTCTTTGTGGAGAGAAAACGGCATTTATTTATTGACTTTTTTTAACCTTTACAGTATTTAAATTTTTGAAAGACTAGACAATTTTTAAATTCATATTCTGAAAAAGCCTCCTACGTCATTAATTATCAATGCTTAAAAGCCTCATTGTGAGCGTAATGTTACACGATCAGTCCAAGTTTTCGAACGCTAGTCGCAATTTTTTGAGCTAAATTTTGTTGAAATAGTTTTCTAGAGAACTTTCATAGCAGTTCGATTATCTCTACTCTCTGAGATCAAACAAAAAAGTTCTCTGCATTTTTGAATTCACTGAATTAATCCAAGAATTTTGAATATTTATTCAGCAATACCCCTATATTGCCATGTAAATCCATGCAAAGGAGCCACATAGTTTAACTATGTCTTTCTTTCATTTATTTATTGTGATAAAACTGGATTTTTTTACGTCCACTCAGGCACTAATAAAAATTGAGTTATATTATACATTTCTCGTTTCCATGCAACTTCAGGTGCGGAAACGATTCACTATATGCAGATAGGCGAGACTGCAATTCGCAAAACAAGTGAGAGTACTGCAAACTGGCTCTCAAAACGGCAAAAAAAGGAAAATGTATGAAAACTCAAATATATGCATTAAAAAACATTTTCGAGTTTTCATGCATTTTCCTTTTTTTGCCGTTTTAGAGCCAGTTTGTAGTTCTCTCACTTGTTTTGCGAAATGCAGTCTCGCCTATCTGCATATAATGAGTCTTTTTTGCACCTGAAGTTGCATGGAAACGAGAACTGTATAATAGAACTCAGTTTTTAGTGCCTGAGTGGACGTTGAAAAATCCAGTTTTATCACTAAATAAATGAAAGAAAACCATAGTTAAAATATGTGGCTCCTTTGCATGAATTTACATGGCAATATATGGGTATTGTTGAATAAATGTTCCGTGTCTGTACAAAACGGTCCCATACAAAAAGTCCAATACAAAACAGTCCGGAAAAGTATGAAAATGAACGAACAAAAACAGTCCGATACAAAACAGTCACAAGTAATAATTGTTTTAATAAGCCGGCAGGCCGAGAAGTGTCCTTTGTTCAACAAACAAAGAACAAAATAGTGAATGCCGCAGTCGCGCCAGCGAGCTTGCCAACAGAGGGTAGGACTTAATACGAAATTTAGATCTTGTTGTCGCCGCGAAGCGCGCCCACCAGCGGCCTTAAACCGGACTGTTTTGTAATGGACTGTTTTTTCCTTCATTACATGATTTCTTGGACTATTTTGTATTGGACTGTTTTCTATGGGACTGTTTAGTATATGCACCAAATATTCATGGCATGAGTTAATAGTGAGTTTCTTGAAAATTGTAATGGTTCGAGTTTTTGGTGCAATTATAAAAGTCGCGTAATTATAGTTGCTAAGTAAAGCTAGCTCCTGCATATGCTTTTCGTCTGAAACATCTACTCTTCTAAAACATTGTCACTTCACCTTAAAAATGCTCACAGCGCAGGAAAATGCAAAAAATGGTCGTGTTTTATTAGAATACGGACCCGATAAAAACTATCTAGACTAAAGCGCGGACGCAATGGAACTTTTCGTTGCCTGAATGAGTCTTATGGCCTGAATTTAATTCAGTGGTTTGAAAATAAAATCGATTTTTTATTTCAATTTTTTTTCCACAACCTCAAGTTGTATTATAGGGTTTATCATCAATTAGATGGGTTGATTGCTGTCTTTTCAGTCGCAATCACAGCTCGGAATAATGAAAATCTCGAAATGAATTTGACAAATACTGACGTTAAAGCAGACTTGTTAACGGGCCGCCATAATACAGGGAATTTTTTAAATATCGGCCCGTTGGGGCCCGTTGCTGCTTTTTTGGTAAAAAAAAACAAATTTGTTTCAAAACAATTTTAATTAATTGTTTTACTTATTTATAAAGACCTTTTTTGAAAGCCATGGAAACCATTTCAAGTCATGTCGTTTAGCACACTGCAAGCTGTACAGTGCGCACTGAAACATAACATTGGTTAGTCAATAAAAGTAAGGCCCGTTGGGGCCCGTTGACATAAGTGAAAACATCGGCCCGTTGACAAGTATGCGTTAAAGTTGAACTTCAGCCATCTTCATTTTCTTTAATGGCTCGATGAATGTAATTTTATATTCAAGTTCAGTATAATTTTTGAGAATTATTCTTTTCAAATGCTGGTAAATCATAAGCGTCGAAATGCGCTAGCTAGACTTTTTCGCATGGTTATGTCTTAAAATTTGAATTACAGCTTTACTGTTTCTTAAAGAAAAACAGCGTGTAAAACTTTTTCGCATATTTTAATTTTTTGGATCTTCATTTTAAAAAAAAATTTAAAATCTGTAATAGATTTTTTGTCATAAGCGTTAAACTTAGTTTATACAAAAATACTTGAATTGAATTATGGGCTGCAAAATAGGCAGTTTTCTGAGTTTTGCTTATGTTACATTGAAAAGATCAATTTATTTCTGTACCCCTTTTTTACCTTGAAATTTGGATTAGCAAGATTTTCCATTATTCGATTGGCATGGTAGTACAGAGCAGGTACAGTAAAAAAATATATTTTTGTTGTAACTAAGCAAAACTCAGAAGGCATTACTTACTTTAGAGCCCAGGCATTTTTGAGCAACAAATTAAACACTTATAATTTAAGACATCGGGACGTCTTCAGCAAAACTACGGCACGCAACAAGTTCCAAAAACTAAAATGAACGAAGATCTGAAACATTTTCTGTAATTTAAGGACACCGATTACTTCAGTAGCTTGTGATTATTTCAAATATTGGCCCTCTGTAACCATAGCATTCCAGTTTTTGAAAAAGTATTCGATCATGCGTTCATGAGTTTCGGACGTTTTTTAAGATCAATAATGATTGCATGACTTTCTGTTTTTCTTGCATGACTTTCATTATTTTTAGAATGTGATCTTTTTTGGCAATTGCTTTTTCGCCTGAAACGGTGGACTATTTTATGCCACGTTAAAATTTTATCCATGATGCTTATCAGTCAGAAATTTTGGGCTACTTTGTCCAGGTTCAGCGTGGTTTTTTTTTGCGAGGGAAAATTGGAAGTCTTTATGATACAGTCGCTAAATACTATACCAAAGAAGAGAACAATTTCAGTTCAATTTTCCTAGGCAAATTTTGCAAAATTAGTCTAAAAATAACGCTTAGAACTATCGTTTCAGATTTAATCAGCGAACTTTATATCATTGTTCAATTGCAATTGATGAAATTTTTTAGTTAAGTTAAGTGTCAGCCTGGTCATTAACTAAGTCTTACCGCAAAATTTGATCATCCAATTAGCTGAAGTTTTGATAAGCTGCAGTCTAAGCAAATTACAAACAAGAATAGCCGGTTACTGTGCATGTAGCACAGTATGTTTGGACCATAGTCATTAAAACAAAAATTTTTCAAACTAGTGTAGCTTTTCTGCGTGGTGTGAGAAAAGGGTCTGACATAAAACTATAATTTAGTCATATTTGACATTCATAGTAATATGGGCAAACCGGGCAAAATTTTTTGAAAAAAACTGACTTGAAAAAACTGACCAGAATTGTTTTTTTGAGAATTTATTAGTGTGGTTCGAATCCCGCTGAAAGGGTGTTAAAATGATATATCATTCAACTCAGTCCGATGATTATTTGTGGTACCTGATTTTGCTTAAAAAACTAAAACACAACACACCCGAATGCAAAGTTCCTCCCCATTTTCAATGATCCGAACAAAAAAGACAGCGAATATATTTTTTAAGAAACCATTTTTGTTTCGAAAGATAATATAAAATATTGCTTGCGTATTTTTATTTATTTTTTCATTTTTCGAGAACCCTAGATAGGAACTGATGCAAATTGGAACCAACTTCCGTGTTGTCAGACTCAGATCGCGATCACACCCATAACTTAGCACAGTTAAGATAAATCAACAAAATTTAACAATCTGAGTTTTTTCAAAACGTTTCTAGAGTAATACAAGAGTCTAATTTTAGTTATTTTAATTTGAAACTCGGATCAACATAGTTATCGGAAAATTAAGTGCCGGCGCAAGTACTCGCGCACATGTCCATAAACATCGCATAATTCTTCCTCACTTCTTCTGCGAACACGTTCGATTTTTTGAAATCATTCACATCGTACAAAGAATTGCACTCGTACTTGTGTTTGTGCAGAGGACCTGCCACCACGAGAAGTGATGAGTAATTTGAGCTAGGACTGAGGTGTTTGTTAGTTGCCACGTAAGGAAATGCAGTTGAGGTGTTGTTTGTGAAGCAGGGCGAGAGGGAAAATAAGAACACGTTGTTTCCGTGTCTCTCCCCAGGCCCCCCTCGGTAGTACTCGAAGTGGTCGGCGTTTGAGGCTAGCAGCACTGTCTCTGCATTCGTCAATTCGTATTTTCGCAACACGACTACACAAAATAAATTTTGTGGCTACCGAGAAACTTCATAAGATAAACAACTTTTTCATTTTAAAAATTTAGCCGGAAGCATCAATTTCAGTTCTAAAATTTTGACTAGATATATTTATCAAAAAAAAAAATGTTCACCAGATTTTTTCCTCTATTTGCTGCTTGATTTTGGAGGGTTTTGGTCAATATTTCTGTTTCGAAGAAATTTGAACCGAAACTTTAACTTAGCGGAATATGAAAACTTTTCATAAATTTTCTGAAAAAAATAAAACAACAATAGAAATAGAGCCAGTTTACCTTTTAGCAAGCAGAAAAACTTGAGCTGTGATTTTATGCTTTTCTCCTTCAGGCTCACTTCTTCCCCAATTGAGTTGTGGTAGGACCACGTGAACGAAATACGGGTCCAGTTGACACTGCACGACCCAATGAAGGGCAGATGCTCGTATTTCACCAGGGGTATCGAATTGCTGTCATTTCTGACCCCCCATGATGAGGGGGTAGTGTAGGAAGTCAAGTCGCTATTTTTAGCCGGACTAGCAATTTGGTCTGACCATTTAGGAGTAGTGAATGAACTGCTTTCATTTTGAGTTTTTCTATTGAACGCATCGTACGGGTTTAAGCTCACAGAGTTCGGCCAAATAACGGTAAGACAGAAAATCATTGATATCGAAAAGACTATCATGAAAATTGAAATGAAGAGAAGAATCAGAAAAATTTTGGGCAAATTAAGAATAACATCCAGAAACTCTTTCGCGAAGATGGAAATTTTGGAGAACATGGAGCTCATCTGGGAATAAGTTTGGATTTCGTTTTCAGGCTCGCTGGCACTGATAGATGATTCAATAGCCAAGTAGTTTGAATCCAGGGGGACGTAGCTATCCACGTGAATTGGGGCCGCTAAAGTTCGTACTTTCTGAGTTGTCTGGCCTGGAAATGGAGGAGACATCGCTGTAGTGTTTGTAGATACAGTAGCTATTAATGTGGAGGAGCTACCTAAAAACTAGAAATGAAAGTGAGGTTCAAAATGGGGCTGAAAAATGCTGCATGTGGTCTGGAATAGAATGTCAATTACAGATTTACATAAGAAAGACAGGCGTCAGATGGGTAATATTATATCCACGCTACCGTTTTATATCCACGCTACCAATTTCTAAAAAGAGCGAGTGGCTCCAAAATTTAATATTCAGACCGCATGGATCGAATTTTGATGGTAAATTTTAACATGCATACAAAGGAAACAGGTAATGATCGTCACTAATCAATCAGAAACTGGTTATGCTCAACCAAAGTAAACAAATGCTGTGAACAAGAACAAATCAGTACCTTTATCAGTTTTTTACGTGCTAAAAAGGTTGACACCGTTCCCCATGTGGCGTTAGAGTAGAAACGTTTTGCCCTTTTTACGGGAGGCCTGTGTATCCTCATTTAATTGTTTCCGACTAATTGGTAACGAAAAATTTGATATTTAACAGGGATCTACTTTAACAAGAACATATAGCAATACAGGGAACATCCATTGCTCTCAAACTGTCTTTTTTCAGGCAGCTTAATTGGGAAGGTTGCAAGATGAACTCCAGAAGCTTTTTGGGTTCAGTTGCTAAGTTCTTCAAAAAAATTGTTGAAAACATAAATCTAAAAAGATTTTGAGCTTCAGAGATTTTTTTCGAACAGTTGCTAATGATTTTGACTCGGGCTATTGTCAGGCAGGTGTAAAAAAATTAATGCAATAAAATATCTGTAGTTGTTAGTTGCTGAAAAGTTATTTTATTAAATATGCTGAAAAATGTTTTCGAGAATCTAAAATGTAGGAATTTTGTAAAAATTGTTGAAAAGTTGGATGAGCGTTAAAAATGATAGTAAGATTGCTTTTAGATTCATCAAATTTGATTAACTGAGATACAACCCTCTTTTGACAAACACCCCTAATGCTGGCTTTTCTTTTTTTCCCGCCAGATAAAAGTAGGTACAGCTCATTAACTTTACCTGCAAGTGTTTTTGGTCTGTTCGTCGATCCCTCTCTGCTTAAACTTCTCTGCCTAGTGGGCAGTGTCTGGTAGGGCACACTGATCACAGAATTATGGATGGTGTTCAGGGTAGTCTGTGAGTTCCTCCTCCTTTCATCGCTATTGTACATCAGAGAAGGAGCCACCCGGTTGGCATTGTGTTCCAGAAACCAGTTCCTCGCCTCCTCGAAACTCAGAACGCGGCCTTGCAGTCCGTACAGTGAACTGTCCATACTTTTTAATAAGAAGTCTTAGCTTGAGCAAGATTTATAACAATACTTGGAAACTAATTTATATATCAAACTGGTAGTTATTTCCATTCACCGGTAAATTAAACCTTATGTAAATGTAATGTTAGTCAGAGTTGTTTCTGTACCGTAGCTCTATGCTAATTATTGGCTGCTAAGCAAGGAAGGTCTCGCCCTTTTATTCTGTGATATTTATGCGGCTTCTCTGTTAGACAACCAAGTCAATTCTCAAAGTTTGTCTTCATTCCACTGGGAAAAATTGGAATGCATTACCTAATCCGTTTTTGCTTCAAGGGAAAAGAAAAAGCCGAAGATGCTCCCAAGCTAAACTAACAAAGTATGTCAGGGGATTTTAAGCAACCGGGTAGCGTTTTGGGAAGCCGGGCTCAAGGCGACCGTTCGGCTCAATTGTAAAATTGAAATTGACGCATCACAAAATTTCCTCTCCTGAATTGAAATTGGGTATAAAAATGAGAAGAGCGGGCATAAAACAAACACTACGCGGGTTAATGTGCTGAATAAAAATTAGAGAAATACAACAATAATAACAAGAGGGCTTGAGGCCTATTCATTGCAACACAGTAGTGGGAAAAATTGTCCAACTTCTTGAATCTGATTTTTCCTTTTTGTTATAACCGCTAGACATTACTAACTGATTGATATCATTACTTTTCCTTTCCTCTTTACAATTTGACCAACCTATTCGGAAATATTACCTGTTGGCTTTGCGATAGAAGAAATAAAATTATTTCATTGTTAGATTTGAATGGGCGAGCGGCTTTCTCGAGAGGGCAATAATATACTCTTTATCTACATTAGAGGCCATAAACGGGACTGCGATGAATAAATATGACTACTTTTAACCCACAATTGGGCTATAGAGTTACACTTGATGGTAAGGAAGAGTTAAAGGGGAGCCCATTATAGAAACCTAAAGTTACAAAAAAAGGAGGGCTCTAAAGTTACAAATTGCAGTAAAAAAATTCATCGAGTAAGTTCTCAGGTTTTAATATCAAAAAATGATGACGTTTTTGAATGATTTTGTTTTAGTATCAATAGCTAAATTGCTTGCTTTCATCAATTTACCGGAAAATTTACATGAATGCACGAACTGTTTCAAGCTGTTTAGTTAAGCGAAATAATTTAATTTTGTCTAGCTTTTGATCTTGCTCGAACGTAACAAATGCAGTTTAATCGCCTCATTTTTTCAAAACAGGATTTCCTCAGTAGGTTTTGAAATTTCACTTGAGGGTAACCATTAAATCTACTAGTGTCCCTTTTAATTAGGCTAAAAAGGGGTTCAATAGTTGGTATTGAGGTCACCCCGTTGGAATGCCACTGAGCTCCTAAGCAGATTTGGGTCGTTCGGTTTTATCCAAAGTAATTGTCGCTGAAGAGGTAAATTAAGAGATAAAAAGATATCTTAATAGATAAGATTTATCTCTCAACATGCAAAGTCTGCTCGTAGTGAAGGAAGAGTATACTTGTTAAAATAAGGTTAGAAAAGTGAGCAACAGGGTTGAAATCGCATTTTGAAGTTTTTTTCTCCACAACTAGAATGAAGTTTTCCCATTGTGAAAAAAAAACATGCTTCTTGACTAGGTTAAAACCTATAAGATAGATTGATTAAATAAAACTTTGAATCACAACATTCTTCTTAACAGAAAAACATTTAGCTTACTACGTTTACTACTAACAATGTAACGGCTCCTTTCCTCTCGGGAAATAAGTTAATACGTCGAAATAAGTAAAATGATTTTCTAGTAGAAAAAAATGGTACTAAATTACAAACGAATGATTGATAAAGAAAATATACCCCTAAAATGGTACAAATTTGATTTAATAAGCAACATACAAAAATTTATATAACATCTTTTTTTCTATCGAAAATTATTAGTTTTCGGCTTGGCCCAGTTTTAGTTTTTCTATTTCTGCATCAAATAGTTCGCTTTACATGTCCATCGTATCGTCGAGTTCGTTTATAGCCATTCTGAGATATTGGTCAGTTGAGGATAGGGATAGGATGTCATCTGAGTACATTGAGTATCCAAATCGTCCGAATCGTGATGGCATCGGTTGGTCAATCACGTTCGGCGGTGTAGGATTCAAGGCGACAAGGTCTCCGAAGGATCCAGTATGTTAAGGTATCTGGTCTATAACATCTATAACCATTCTTTGACCGTAAAGTTTAATCGGGCCTGCATTACGACCAGAGCAGCGCAAAATTGTTTTGTTACCATATGTAGCAATTGTCTTTGGTCCTGTTGTAACTTCGTCTGAGGAGTGTACAAAAGCTTGTCGAAGTGTCAGCAGAGTGGTCTGAATTCTGATAGTTCGAAGGAGTGACAGTGTCTGGTTTGCTCTCGTTTGTCGGTTTTTGGTCTCCAAAGTGTGATGATTATGCTTTTTGGTCACCAATGGTCGTTGGTTGTGCCAGGATTATACTGATATGATAAACCGGAGAAGGAGTTTTCATGAGAAGAACACGTTCTGAAATCTCAGACATTGCCTTATCTAAGATGAAATCCGAATGAGAGTGGGGTTCGGCAAGTTTTCTAACCATTTGTACAAGGAAAACTTCCAGCTATCTATTTCCAATCGCTAAAATCCGATGTATCCGAAAAAATGCCTATTGATTCGTCGCAAGCTAAAAAAATTTTGGTAGAATTAATTTTTTAGCGGGAAATGGTTGTCGCTCATTTTTTGTAGCTTTCCGATTGGCATCTATTCAGCATTATGGTTAGGAGACGAATGCGAACGAAAGCTTTCCTTTAGAAGTGCAAATATGAGTCAAATTTGATTTTGATAAAGCGATATTTGATTTTCGGATTATTTTACCTCTGATAATTTGACCGTGGATTTACTTGACTTCACAATTTTCTGGTTCATTTTCTTCTAGAAAGAGTTTCCATTAATGCTTTTTTTGTTTTCCGGAGAAAGGTACCTTTACATGGACTTCGAAGGAGAATCCTTGAGGTGGAGTGTTTTTAAAATGTAGGGTAGTCTGTCTCCTATCCCTTTTCCAATGGGAACTGACTATATTTTTGACTTCATGATTCTTCATTTAATTTTTTTTCTGGTAAAACGGTCCTTTGTTACACCTAATTCTATTTTATAAAGAATAAAACGCTAAAGAGTAAATTAATCTCAAAGTTAGAACAATAAAGAAGAGAAGAGCATTCTTTCCATCGAATAGAATAAAGATATCAGGCTGACATAAAAAAAAATCAGTTAAAACTTTTAGGATAGATTGATTTAGTAAAACATTGAATCACAACATTCCTCTTAACAGAAAAACATTTAGCTTACTACGTTTTTTACTAACAATGTAACTGCTCTTTTCCTCACGGGAAATAAGTTAATACGTCGAAATAAGTAAAATGATTTTCTAGAAGAAAAAGTGGTACTAAATTACAAACGAATGATTGATAAAGAAAATATACCCCTAAAATGGTACAAATTTGATTTAATAAGCAAAATACAAAAATTTATATAACGTCTTTTTTTTCTATCGAAAATTATTAGTTTTCGGCTTGGCCCAGTTTTAGTTTTTCTATTTCTGCATCAAATAGTTCGCTTTACATGTCCATCGTATCGTCGAGTTCGTTTATAGCCATTCTGAGATATTGGTCAGTTGAGGATAGGGATAGGATGTCATCTGAGTACATTGAGTATCCAAGTCGTCCGAAGGATACGTGATGGCATCGGTTGGTCAATCACGTTCGGCGGTGTAGGATTCAAGGCGATAAGGTCTCCGAAGGATCCAGTATGTTAAGGTATCTGGTCTATAACATCTATAACCATTCTTTGACCGTAAAGTTTAATCGGGCCTGCATTACGACCAGAGCAGCGCAAAATTGTTTTGTTACCATTTGTAGCAATTGTCTTTGGTCCTGTTGTAACTTCGTCTGAGGAGTTTACAAAAGCTTGCCGAAGTGTCAGCAGAGTGGTCTGAATTCTGAAAGTTCGAAGGAGTGACAGTGTTTGGTTTGCTCTCTTTAGTCGGTTTTTGGTCTCCAAAGTGTGATGATTATGCTTTTGGTCACCAATGGTCGTTGGTTGTGCCAGGATTATACTGATATGATAAACCGGAGAAGGAGTTTTCATGAGAAGAACACGTTCTGAAATCTCAGACATTGCCTTATCTAAGATGAAATCCGAATGAGAGTGGGATTCGGCAAGTTTTCTAACCATTTGTACAAGGAAAACTTCCAGCTATCTATTTCCAATCACTAAAATCCGATGTATCCGAAAAAATGCTTAATAATTCGTCGCAAGCTAAAAAATTTTGGTAGAATTAATTTTCTTAGCGGGAAATGGTTGTCTGTCATTTTTTGAAGCTTTCCGATTGGCATCTATTCAGCATTATGGTTAGGAGACGAATGCGAACGAATGCTTTCCCTCAGAGGTGCAAATATGAGTCGACTTTGATTTTGATAAAGCGATATTTGATTTTCGGATTATTTTTACCTCTGATAATTTGACCGTGAATTTACTTGACCTCATAATTTTCTGGTTCATTTTCTTCTAGAAAGAGTTTCCATTAATGCTTTTTTGTTTTCCGAAGAAAGTTACCTTTACATGGACTTTGAAGGAGAATCCTTGAGGTGGAGTGTTTTTAAAATGTAGGGTAGTCTGTCTCCTATCCCTTTTTCAATGGGAACTGACTATATTTTTGACTTCATGATTCTTCATTTAATTTTTTTTCTGGTAAAACGGTTCTTTGTTACAGCTAATTCTATTTTATAAAGAATAAAACGCTAAAGAGTAAATTAATCTCAAAGTTAGAACAATAAAGAATAGAAGAGCATTCTTTCCGTCGGATAGAATGAACATATCAGGCTGACATGAAAAAAATCAGTTAAAACTTTTAGGATAGATTGATTTAGTAAAACATTGAATCACAACATTCCCCTTAACAGAAAAACATTTAGCTTACTACGTTTTTTACTAATAAAGTAACTGCTCCTTTCGTATCGGGAAATACGGCAATATGACAAAATAGTACGACCTCGAGTTAATACGATCTTCTTCTGTAAGCAGAGCAATAAATTTAAGGATGAACAGACAACTTAATTCAAGGGTCTTTCCAGTGACATCAAAATTTCACGGTTTTTGAATCAGTTTCTCGTGTTCTGATAGAAGCAGAAAGTCGACGGAAATTTGAATACCAACGGTAGAGGAATTAACTACGTTTTGGTTCTTAGACATTTTTACAGCATTTACCATTTTAATATCAAAAGGAGATATTATGAAGCAATAGATAAAAAATTAAAAATATATAGAAATTGAATTTAAAAAAAAAACAAAAGTCAAGTTAAAAGTCAAAGTTTGATAACTCAAAAGAAAACAACAAGAGTTACACAATTTGGTGCCATTTTTTCCTAGTGATAGTTTGAAAGAAACCAGGCTAGAAAAATTAAAACCGAAGCTATTTGGTAGGTAATTAGGTAATCTTGCGTAATCCGAAATTTTCAAAACTGAAGCAATTGCGTTGCAGTATATTTTTTTAAATCTTTTATATAATCGCTTTTTAATTTTTATTAATTGTTGTTACCACAAATTCTTGGTGTTTTTTATGTTTTTCATACAGAAAATCAAGGAAGAATTCAATTGAACCATTTTCCATTTTGTTAGTCTACTCTGATTAGTTTTCTTTCCAAGATTTGTTGAAAGCGCAGAATAAAAATTTGGGGTCTTTAAGAATTTCAAAATCGGAACCGTAGAGATAAATTTTGTATTGCTCTTTTGCCGAAAGAACTTCTATAGATTCTAATTGTTTTTATCGATTTTTTTATTTT